GGAGCAACACAAGTCACTCACATGCTGTGCAAAGATTGCAATGGAGCATGTGGAAATCTTGAGCCTTTGAGAAGTACATTTCACCATAAATTATCCTGTAATTGCTTGGCAACCATTTGACTAGCATAATATGTTATTTACAGATATAGTCAAAATTATAATTGTGTCTAAAGTACAAGCAGCTAAATCGGTAACTGAATGATTCATTCCCTAAATGCTTCAAGGCAACTCCAGGTGGCAAATATACCTGGAGCTGTATGGAAAGTCATTAGTATTTACCAGCAAGTCATTGCCAAGAAGTTGCCAACCTCTGGTCTTGTGTACGATGAGATGGTAAATGTGATAAGACACTTGCTGAAAACCCCAAGACAGATTTCCAATTACTTTCCATTAGTCAGATGGTGAGATGGAGGTTCTTTCCCCATCCTGCTTCACAGCAGTGACGGTTCACATGAGTTTTGGGGCATAGCGGCTGTGTTAAATTTGAGGATATGGCAGCCCCTAGGCCAGGGTTAGCCAATGTGGTGCCCTCTAAATGTTGGTGAACTATAGGATCCATCATCCCTGACCATTTGCCATGCCAGCTGTGGCTGATAGGAGTTGGAGTCCAACAACAGGGCACCACATTGGCTAAACCTGCCCTAGACACCTGGCACGCTGGCTGCATAAAACATCATCATCACCATCATCATGTATTATTTATACCCTGCCCATCTGGCTGAGTTTCCCCAGCCACTCTGGGCGACTCCCAATCAAATGTTAAAAACAATACAGCATTAACATACAATTATTTATGTTCTGTGGGCTGCTATCTTTTCATAACAGCACAACAGGCTATGATTTTAACTTTTGTTACACTCATTCAACCACAACTCTGCAATCCCTGACTCTAGCTCCAAAGTATACTAAGAATGTTATACATCTATCCTGTAACTATCTTGTTGTTTTTTGAGAAAGCTGCATTTTGATCCAATTTTCCCCAAACCAGGTTTGTTCCAAATGGAGAGAAAGAATGACCTAGCAGTGTTTTAGGTAATGCATACACATTACTTTCAGCTGAAAGTAGTGACATGGAGTTTTGATACACCATTTGTCTTTTCTCTGTGACAAGGCGGTTCTGGAGATCATAGTTGATGACTATCTCTGACAAGTCAGTTGCATTGTAAACACAATATTTTTGACACCTATCTTTCTGGGAAGCAATACCACTACATTCATAATTAACATTCAAATATGGAAAACAGCTTAAGGGAAACAAATGGGGTTTGCTGTACCATTAATCTTAGCAAAGATTTATTTCCTGGAACTAATGCTTGAATTATATTTTTGATCAAAGAACTTTACCAACATCAATTCCTGTCTGTATCTCTTTTTCAGAAATCCATTGGTCTGGCTGGTTTTTGTCAGTTTGTTCATTGTCCTTCTTGGCTGGCATAGCTTAATCTGTTCAGGGTTAGTGCGTGGGGTATTTACACTGAAACTCAGATAATTGCAAACTTTTTTTGAAGACAATGGTTGATGTGTACCTTAATGCTCCACACTGATTTCCATTTCAATTGTCTCCAAATAAAAACAAGGCATGACTGACATACTAAGATAATTCACAGTATCTGTTGAGAATTACTAATGGGTGCAGACCATTTACACCACACTGAAAGCTATGACAAAATTCCCATTAGGGAAAACCCATTGGGAAGTTTCCTGTGTGAACTCTATTTAAACTAATAGACCTGAGCAAAAGAATTCCATTGAACATTGTGTGTTGTTGAACAACTCCCACTCACTCTGATTTTGCATCAATTAGAGTGTGATGACGGTTGAACCACCTATTAGTTCTCAACAGGTGCTGTGAAGTCACCTGATATATCAGCACACCTTGCTTTCATTTGGAGACAAGTTAAACTGGGTGATCATGGTTTAATTAAAAGATCAGCAGTGCTTCCTTGGGTGTATTACAGATGTAGATCGCTAGAGTACCCACTGTATCCCAGCTGCAAACTGGATCCCAGAACTACTAGTCTTTTGTTTCAATTAAAAAAAGATAAAACAAATTGGCCACGGGGAACAAACCCTTTTGCTGCCAGTGTTTCAAAATACCTATACAAATGGATGTACTTCAACCATTTCTCCCAGGTGCTATTTCTGCCATAATCTCCTCTGAGTAAGAGAACATTTCGTTTTAACATACAGAAACCAGAGTATGAGTCACTGCCTCTGCACTTCCAAAGCATTTGACATCCTTATGAATGTACCGTGGTTGCAAACACATCCTTATTTCCAGCTCTACCAAGTGCAATTACTCAATACTGCAACATAAACATATCCTCATTTTTGTTTTGTTTTTAATGGGAATGTCTGTTTGTATGTCTGTCTTGTCTTAGCCATGAAACAGGATAGGCTAAAAGCATATCCACACAGGGATGGAAAACATGTAGCTCTCAGGTGTTGCTGGATTCTAACAACTCCCATCAGGGGTCCCAACTTGAATAAAATATTGAGGAGACACAGGTAAGCCACACCTCACCACAAGATGTGGCACGCACACACACACACACACACACACACACACACACACACTGTGTGAATGGCAATGCCCATCAGTTTTGGGGGGCCAGCCTCCTCAAATGTTTTATGAGCACAATGACTCCAGCCCCTAGGAGTTGACTCCTATGACTCTCATCATCCTCGGTTAACATGGCCAAGAGTCAGGAGCAATGGGCATTGTAATCCAGCAACATCTAGAGGGCCACAGGTTCCCCTTGCCAGACTAGTCAATATATTGCTTTCTTTTCTCCAGTAACTATGCCAGGGCCAACCATTGTTCAGCCCGGACACTGACATCCAGCACCGAGGGCCTTCTGGCGGTTCCCTCATTGCAAGAAGTGAGGTTACAGGGAACCAGACAGAGGGCCTTCTCGGAAGTGGCACCCACCCTGTGGAATGCCCTCCCTTCAGATGTGAAGGAAATAAGCAGCTATCTTCTCTTTAAAAGACATCTGAAGGAAGCCCTGTTTAGGGAAGTTTTTAATATTTAATGCAGTATTGTTTTTAACACTTGATTGGAAGCTGCCCAGAGTGGCTGGGGAAACTCAGCCAGATGGGCGGGGTATAAATAATAAATTATTATTATTATTATTATTATTATTATTATTATTATTACCTCTTCTTTTACTCTGTCATGAACTGGCAAGAAAATGGGGAGGAGGAAGAGGATTCCGGTGAGGAGTGTAACTGCGATTGGGGCCCACCGGGGCAAGCTGGGGGTGGAAAAGGAGAGGTTGGGGTTGCAGAAAGTACACAAGAGGTGATGGAGGACAGCAAGGGGATGGAGAGTCAGTGTCCAGGGCCCAGAAGAGCAGGACCCATAATCAGAGCCAGGGAGGCCCCTGTCTCCACAAACAAGGATGTCCCTGAAGCATAGGAGGAGGTATGCTCTGGGAGGCTGAGTCAGGCAAGGGCCCACAGCCCAGGTGGGTCTTGTTAGGTTAGCTCAGAGAGGAGGGATGTGATTCCTCAGCTTGATTAGACTTAGTACAGGTGAGGGTCACATGCCTCATCAAGCCCAGATGCTACAATCAAGACTCAAGAGAGGGAAGGAGAGTAGAGCTGAGATGTTGTGTCTGCTCAGCTGCCCATATTGATGGACCTCAGCTTGGATGCTCCAGAACCTCTACAGGACTGTGCTTCAGGTTTGACTCTGGACTGTGTTTCCTGACTGCTGGACTTGACATACTGTGTACGCCAGTGGGACTTTCTTCCAGGTAGGCCAGGGGTTCCGGACATACCCTCTCTATTCATTTATTCACCCAATCTGGTCTCCCTTTTTTTGCTGTTGCCAACATTTACCTTTCACTCAAATCCAGATTCATCTCAATTGTACTGTCTGTCCTCTTGCTACCACTTCCTTCTACCTCGATGCCGGGCTGTTCTTAAGGAGCTGATAAGGCAGTTTCACGCAGGGCTGTACACCTACAGGTGTACAGGCTACCAGTAGCTGATGGCATTGTTTCACCAATGCTGTTGTCCCATTTGTCCTGTAGATGAGCATGTCTCAAGTGTCAATCAACACAACCAGGAAAAATGGGACAACAATGGCAGCCATCACTTGAGACTATCCATTGTGAGTGAGTATCGATTGTGCCTGTTACTTGAGGTAAAAAGGTTCTACCAAGTCAACCTTTCCCTAGAATTAGAGCACTAGGATGGATCTCATTACAATATTCCTCCAAAGGCTTTCAAGAGGCCCACTGCTGTCTGTCTTTAATGTAAAAACATGTTGTTAGTTAGGACAGGAGCATTGTGCATTGTGCTGTTTCCCGACAAAGCCTTTTTAATATCGGAAACTTTATGAGAAAGAACATGTCGGGTGTGCGTGTGGGAGAGAGTTAGTAATTTGGAGCAAGTGTCTCATTAAAGCCTCGATAAACGCCGCGTAAAATGTACACCTTAATGATTCCCCCAGATTTTCTGGTTCCCGTTTGTTTGGTTTCCCACAGGACATACTCAGTTTTTCACAAGCACATTGTGATATGGCCTGATTTCTGAGGCAGTTCTGGAACAGCACTCCTTTAAGTCAATCTCTTGATATATTCACAGACTTAAGAGTTCGAGGGCCTGACCGCACTTTACATTAAATGCACAGGCATAAAACTCTGTGGGCCTTTTTACAAAATGTAATGATACTAAGAGCGCAGTGTGTGAGAGAGAAAGTGTGATTTTCATCAGGACTGCAGCACAAGGGGTGACTTAACTCTTCTCTCCTCAGCTGTAATCCTACAAAAAAAACCCTGCTCCACCTTTTATCAGTCAAACTTTGGTGGTAAACTTCCCATTGGTGCCAGTGGCATTTTTAGTTTCTGAAGACTTATGGGGGGGGGGGACAGTGATGTGGGTCAGAAACTTTTCTGGAATTTCTTTTTTCATTACTTCATTTTCAGTTGATCCCACCTGCTTCATATTGTAATAATAATTGGATGTCAACTGCAGATCCCATATTAGACCGTCTGATTTTCCATTGTTGTTTTGCTTGAATTTAGGAAATCACTTTAAAAGCTTCTAGCTTTCCTAAATTCAAGCAAAATAACAATGCAAAATTAGATTATTATCTAGGACTAGGGCATCAGAAAATGTTCTGAGGAAACCTACCTACACCAGAGGTATGCCTAAGACAGGTCTTCGGCCCCCTCTACCTGGATTTTGGAGCTCTTCTCAGCCCACATCCTAATTTCAAGTTTACATCTTGTATCCCCAGCCTATACATCCCGTGGGTGATAGAGAAAAGTGCCCAATTCAATAAGCACTGAAAGAAACCAATGGCATGCATCAGTTGACTGGGAATTAGAAGATGGTCATTTCTTCCCTAGAATGCACAGACCTTTCTGTTGTCTTCTTCATCTCCTCACAAAAAAGCACTCAAAACAATATTATTGAATTACATAAAAGACTGCAGTGGAAAGGAATTTTAGATTGCACAGATGAGCCTGGGGGGAAATAAACCAAGACCATGCCAATCTAACATTGCCAAACAGCAGAATTCCGAGCATTCCTAAGGGGATAATCTCACAGATCTGCCAGAACTGGCTTTGGAATACTTGCTGTCATTGCCCTCAAGGACCAGAGATCATGACATCCCCCATTTCCCAAAGGAACAGGAATCCATATACTCTTCAAGCAGAGGGCTAGAGCAAGAGAGGGAGAGTGACTTCACCCTTGGTAGGTCGAGGTTTACAGCTCCAGTAGTGGATTTTGGGCTTTCACATTTCAGCAGTGCCCTGTGCAACATTAAAATTCAGCACCCCCTTGCCTCTCGCGCTCCATTCTACAGCATTGTTGTGGCGCCCCCTGCAGCACGGTACCCGTACTGGTGTGCCACCTTAAAACCACCTCTGATGGCACAGTGGCAGCTAGGCCATGTTGTTTGTTTGGTGGCAGAGCAAAAGTTCCCAGGTTCAGTTCCTGGCAACTTCAGGTAAGAATGGGAAAGCTACCCACACCCCGAAACTTTGGAGAGCAGCCACAAGTCAACACTGAGATAGATCAATGGCTTGGCTTAATATGAGGCAGCGATCTGTGTTTTGCTCCTGATATAACAACTTTTGCCAACCTCAGCCTCTCTACTGCCACTTAAATGTTTTGATTTCTCTACCTGTTGCTTGAAGCCTGAAGCCTTTTTGGGCTTCAGGTGAGAGAGCAGTGAGTTAGGTATTCATATATTTCTCCCCTCCCTTCCCCAATAGGGTTATTGTAGACCTTTGGGGCTGTATTCAAAGCCAGTCCAAGTCAGCATAGACCTCTTGAAACGAGTGAACACAACAAAGGGCCCATCCATACTCTTGCTTGACCCATATTTAATTGGCTTCTGCACCGATTAATTCCCTGTGTTCAAGAGCTTTTCATGATGTTCTGTGGCTGTGCCAGAGGTTTCCGGTGAAAATCTGATCGTGCCAAGTGTGTGGGAAAGCTGAAGAGAGATTTGACCCACTTGATACGCTGATTTTAGAAGGGCTTGAGAACAGCTTTCTTTGAAGTTTCCCTGTATCTGTAGGCATGGGCAATTTCCTCCCATCCCCCTTCCTTCCTTTCCATACAGCCCACCCTCACCAGTTTTTAAGTAGTTTGCAACTGTTGAACTGCTCACTTCCAGTTATTGCCTGGTTTGGAGCCGGGATTTCCCCCTCTTTTTCCAAATGATCTCTACATAATCATAAAGCCTGCGCTCTAAAAAAATTAAAGGGTCCAGTGTCTCCAGAGAATGGAAAGGGAAAAGAGAAGGAGAAGGAAGGGGCAATGAGCCCCAAATCCCAGAGCACCCTTAGCAAACGCCTCTTAATGACAGAGGGGGAGAGTCCTGGAAACCAAGAACATCCTTGGCAACCTCTTTTAGGAAGAGCGTCTCTGAATAATGAAAGACATACCAGATGTATGTAAAATCTGAAGCGATTTAAACTTTGAGACAGCCCTTTATGTGTTTTATGAGTTTTTGTGTTTTGTCTCTTTTGTATGGAATGCTTTTATCTTGTAAGCCGCCCTGGGTTGTTTATTTTACACTAGAAGGGTAGCATATAAATATGCGAATAAACATAAGTTTAACCTTTCCTCGTATCCCACTAAAATACAGACTCCTTAAGGGAAAAACAAGAGCTTAGTGTAAAACAAAAAACAAACAAACAAAAAAGGAACCCCGCTGCCAACTCTCAGGAATTAGGTTTCATAACAGCAGCAAGGCATCACAAGAGAGAGATTAGATTTGGTTTTAAGGCCATGACTGACTTTTAATATTAGAAGCATTTATTACCGAGCATAATACTTATGGTTGACAGGCATCCAATCTCCTTGTAACCCAACAATGAGGCTTTCACATTCTGAGAGTTAAAAAGTGGTCTTTGAAAAGTAGGGCGTGGAATTTACAGTAGAGAGGAGGGGTGGAAAAATGCTAGTTATATCAGCCATCATTTCCCAGAGCCATTTTCTTCAGGGCCCCTGGAGTTATTAGGACAGTTCTTATGGCTGCTTCCTATATTAAAACTAAAGTTCATATAAAAGCACATGAGTGACTCTCTTGTTAGGTCAACAGCAGGGATGGAAGAGAAATCGGCTGCAAGCAGACTGAGCACAGAACTAGCCTGTAGTTAACTTGTTTGCTGTCGTTGTGAAGTAGTAGTCTTTGCAGCAACTTTCTGCGGGTTTCCCCAATACGGGATTCCACCCTCCCAATAATTTTGTGAATATCGTGACATCTGACACAATTTGGTCAGCTACCATAATCATCAGCATTTGATCTTGGGAAATGGTTTTCAGAACAATGAAACATAATAAAAGTGATTAGATGTATGCACAAGTCTTCACATTTGAATACCTTTTCCAGGATTATTCCGGTAGGCTTTTCCCGTGTCATTTTAGGAAGAAGCATGCAAGGTTAGCCCAGGATGTTTTGCCGCTTGAGGCAAAACAGGAAATGCCCCCTTGGCTACCTCCTCCTATTCTGTGAACCCTGTTTAAGTAACAGAGGAGTGTTAAAAAACCCTCAAGACCTGTATTTTTACAGGTGATATGGGGTTGGGTGGAGCTGTTAATAAACATACCTAGAACTAGATGAAGGATGAAATAGAAATTAAAAGTCAGTTACATTTTTCTGTTGGTCCAGTGTGCAAGATCAGCATGAACTTGTGTTCAATAGGGTTTAGGTAAGGTAAAGGGACCCCTGACCATTAGGTCCAGTCATGGCCGACTCTGGGGTTGTGGTGGTCATCTCGCTTTATTGGCCGAGGGAGCCGGCGTACAGCTTCCGGGTCATGTGGCCAGCATGACTAAGCTGCTTCTGGTGAACCAGAGCAGCGCACGGAAACACCGTTTACCTTCCCGCCTGAGCGATACCTATTTATCTACTTGCACTTTGACGTGCTTTCAGACTGCTAGGTGGGCAGGAGCAGGGACTGAGCAATGGGAGCTCACCCCGTCGCGGGGATTGAACCGCCGACCTTCTGATCTGCAAGTCCTAGGCTCTGTGGTTTAACCCACAGCGCCACCCACGTCCCTTTCAATAGGGTTTACTTACAGGTTAAATATATATATATATCTGATTGCTTGTATATTTACTAGGAAGCCAATCTCATTGCAATCTATGGGCCTCAGCTCCAAATGAACATGGCCTAGGCTAAGGCTACAAGCTGCTGAAACTTTCTTACAAATATCTGAGAACAACTAGCACAACTAGGAAGTCTCTCCTGCATTTTGAAACAAAATCAATGCATGGCCACTGAACCTTTGCTAAGAGGACAGATGCCGTTAGCACAGCGTGTTCCCTTTTGCATGTGACATCTGGAAAGCAAGCTGTTTGCTAAACATAGGAGTAGTGGCTTCTATAACTGGGGACACTTGGTTCTAAAACAAAACCCATTTATAGAGCTTTCCTTAGTCTTTGCTTTGTGAGATGTGCGGTTAACAGCAGGAGAGAGTCATATGCTCTATAGCCAAAAAGGACTATTCCAAAGATCAAGTCTGACACCTTATTACTGATACGTGTGTGCGTATTAAACTACATAAGAGGGGTTACTCAAGAGCTAGGGCGAAGAACAGTATCCTAAAAAGTAGGGGCAGTTCCTACAGAAATTCTCATTAACTCTCTCTCTCTCTCTCTCTCTCTCTCTCTCTCTCTCTCACACACACACACACACACACACACACAGAGTGCACAAATTATATAGTTAAGGGGAAAATGTACAATATATTTTGCTAAATAATTAGCGAATTATTAGCATAAGTAAGAGATTATCCCTGAAATGGGGAAGTGGATAGCTTTCTATTCCAGGGCTACATCTGTATACAGCATGACTCTGCATGTCATTCTAGATGTCTTCTAGTTCTTTCCCCTTTGCCAGCAATGCCTTAAGTTGCAAAGTTGATGACAAATACAGCTTTAGCCTAGTTCAGTAAAAGAACGTGGTTTTCAAAGCCCACACAACTAGAGAGGTTATACTCAAATGTGGCTCCATGCCATTTATACGAAGACGATGCATTGGCACTAACAGAGCTCAGAAAGACATCTTTAAAATGAACTAGGGGTAGCTGGAGTTCAAGCATGTTGAAAAAGGAACTAATTCCTGTTCCTACTCATCCCTTTACAAAACAAACTAGTTAAGTTCAGTCAGTTCAGTTCAAGTCAATCGAAATGATCATCTGCATCCCCACTCTAGCATCCAGAATGGAAGAAGCTATGGTGCTGAAGTAGGTCAGCTAATATATGAAGGTCAGCTAATATATGAAGGGTGGGGGAGGAATGGTAGGCAAAAAGAAGATTCTGAGAGGAAGGCAAATTTTACCTTGCATATTAGAATTCTCTCTCTCTGCTTCTCTTGGCATATTGCACTAATGCCCCAACCCAATGGCCATATTTTGCATGTGAGAATGCTTGTTCAAGTGCATTCTCTGAGGCCAAATAATGTTCATTTCTAGAAGTCAAAGTAGAACTCTAACTCCTAGATCAAATATTCAGCATTCAGATGTGCCTACCAGGCTGAATGGGACCACTGCCTCAGATTTTCCCAAAACACAAAACAATTTTTCCTCTCACAACTAGCTGCCCCTGACATGGGCCCACATT